TACATATATATATATATATACGTGTCTAAATTTATACGTACATATTCATATATATGAATGTATAAATACATATTTATATATACACTTAGGCATGCAATTATCTTTTCTATACCTACGCAATCACACGTTTACATGTCGTTCTTAACCTTAATTAGAATGAAGCATTACAAGCAGAGGAAAACTTACTTACTAAAAAAACATGGAGAGTTAAAAAACAAACCTTACCTCAATATCACAGATTTCTAAGTGAAAAAAAGTTTTTTTTAAATCTCAAAAAGCGTTCGCAATGAATATTCATCTTTTTCTAAATTTTTTTTTTTTTGTCATTCGGAAGGAATGTTGGTACTTTATTTGGGCTTTGTGTGAACGAATTGCTTAACAAAAAAAAAACCAAAAAAAAAAAATTAAAAAGACAGAAAAATCGATACCTTCGCAACACTTTACGGCTTAGCTAACCTCTTCCTCATATTTTGCTATCATAACCTTACCAATTAACATCAGAAAGTTTTGAAACCATTTTGACCTCTTTTTCTTTTTAAAAATTCATGAAGCCTACAAAAGCTTGGGATTTTGTTATTATATTTAATATTCTGCCAAGTGCAGTTGGTGTTCTTATAGAACAATAACTTGTTTACAATTCAGTTTTGAAGTCTCTTAAGGCCTTAAAAGAAAAAAAAAAAAGGAAGAGTTATTTAATTTTTTTTTTTTTTTTTTTTTTTTAACCCAAACAGTTTCGCAAGAATTAGGTGAATTGGGTAGGAGAGCCGTATAAACGCCTGATTAAAAATTAAATATTAAAATATTTCGTTTACGAGGTGAAGGATTAAGTTGGCAAAAAAATTCTGCACTATTTTGTGGAATACTTTTAGCTTAAATTATAAAAGATTAGAAAGTTATCGAGGCCTTTAAGCAAATTTTGTAGACATTTCGGCTTAAACAGACTTTTGTTAATTACAGATTCGTTTGCCATTTTGGTGGAATAGTCTCTGAAATAAGAATGGGAGAGAGAGAGAGAGAGAGAGAGAGAGAGAGAGATGAATCTGGTTATGTTGGAAGTATTGATGAAATAGGTATTGATTGCTTATTAGAACTAAATCTCAGACTTTGATTAGTTGAAAAGTATGTGGAAGAAATATCCCCTAAATTTAGAAAACCTAAATATGACCAAAGGAAAAAAAAGAAAAGATTGCATAGATAACTGTTTTTCTAAAAGCTACCAACAGTCTTTTTTTCTTTACCAGCTGTAAATAGCTTGTAGAGCCGGTTGCGGCTGGCGATTTTCTCGGTTTTCAGCAAACTCCTTACGCCCCACGTAACTCTGGGTGCAATGTACCTTAAAATTGTGCGGATGTATACAACTGAGGTGGACTTGAGGTGGATCCACCTCTTATTGTATCCACCAACTCCACCTACTTAGCTCATAGGCCTGTTTGGTCATCTAATGTTCGCCCGTATATTTGCTTCTTACATGCCGCTATTATCTAGATATGAAATTTGTTGCATCGAAATGCCTTACTTTGAAGAAAGACCTTCTAAAAAAGGACTAGGTCGGGCTATTCATACACTCATACTTAGTGTAACTGTCGCGAAGTTGTGTAGGGTTGATATTGAACTTCCTGTAATTTTCTTCAAAAGTAGCTTATGTTCAGTAAACAAAAGATGCTTACACTTGGTTACAATGCTTGTGAAACTTGATATGATATGTTTTAAAGCGGACTTAAGAAAATTCGCCACAACTGGTTATTAGATAGTGTCAGCCTTCAAAGGATATTTCTCCCAATTCCATGATCTATCAACCATTAGTTTACCAGTTGCAATTGTTTTAGTGTAGTGAACTGGAAAGCATGGTATAATGTGTATTCATCGTCATTTTTGAGAAGGGACATAACATTGTCACTGAAGGAGGAAATTGCAAAAAACATTCTGAAATGAAGAAGAAAACAAATGCTCTCTCGGCAGGACAATAGCAGAGTCACAAGTCGATCGCTACAATGGCTAAATTGCACGAGCTGCACTACGCATTGCTACCACATTCACTGTGTTCTCCAAGTGTACCGATCAGTGAACTCTTTGTGAATCTCATAGAACTCCTCGCTGGAATGAAGAGGTGACCGCCCAAACTGAAGCGTATTGCTAGGGATTGAACGCATTATACTTTAAGAAATGCACAGAAATGTCGGAGAAGAGTTGGAATGAACCAATGTACTGCCCTTGAGGGAGGTTACGTTAATAAATAAAGCGAACTTTACTTAGAAATTATGATTTTATTAGCGATCCCACGAAGCTATTGAGTGATGTGTGTTTGTCATTTTATACATTGCTAATTGTCAATTACGATCGGCATCGCAGTCAGCGAGAAGTGACAATCGATTTATGGCAGAGTTTTTCTTTCTATCTAATAATCAAGTATCCGACCTGTCTAAGTCTAAGAACAATTTACGTGTGACGGTGTTAGCATGTTGCCCATTCCTGATACAAACACACGTATCTCTAAGGTTTGAATCTCACGAATTATTTGAAAATAATTCAATATACAGTTATTTACTTTGTTGTTTTAACGAGTTAAACATTCGCAAATTTTTTCAATTAAATATTTTTTGTTTTTTTATTTTTTTTTTTTTATAGAAATTGTAAAAATCAAGTTTATTTAAAACAACAGGGACCTAAAGTACTTTAATAAACTTATACTTGAGTTTACGAGATTGTCTCATTTTTATTATTTAACATTAAAGAGAAGCTAGAGTACTAAAAGTTGGGAGATCCTGAAAATTTTTAATCTTCATTGTTATGGTGTTTGTGTATTTTTTATATAATTTCGTCTTAGTTGCAGTGAACTTACCAATAACATAGGAGTAACCGTCCAGTGTTAGTACACATTTTCTTGTTGTTGTACCAACACTGCACGGCAAACGTAACGAGCGTCCTAATATTGATTTGGCGAATGTGCTATGACTGCTAGGACTGGTATCCTCACAGTGCAAGCTGTCACGGCGACGTTCGTTATTATTGCCCATAAATTCTTTAGCATCTGCTTCTGACGCTCTCATGCCGCGATGCATGACACCATCAGAAGAATGATCGCGTTTAGTACGTGGTTCCAAAGTAGCATTGCGTGTACGTGACCGATTGCGTTCTCTCGGATGTGTTTCGCAAACGTACTCTGCATCATCATCATCATCATCATCTTCAGTATTTTGTCCGATTAAATTGAGTGTACTGTTGGCGGTTTCTAGACCGCTTGCCGTTTGTGGTTTTTCATCTACAGCATCACTCATATTTTTATGATGATTTGTTTGCTTTTTTTCCCTCTTTTTTTTCTCTTTATTAACCAACGCTGTTTAGTAAATGACGTTTAGTTTTTTGTTAATACACATGTTAGACGCTTTTTCATATACATAGCAAGTAAAATACTTTTCATATTTATCTTCAACATTCGTGGTTTACCGTAAACATTAATAATTGTACCAAAGCTGTCGATAGCACCTGATGACTCCAAAAATTTTTTTGTTCAAGATCTTATCTCACTTTATTCGTTATTTATTTATTTATTTATTTAATTTTTTTATTGGAAAATGATTTTTGAATTAATTGTTTTACGTACTAATATCATTCTGGGGTTTTTTAATGAATGCGAGTAAAAACATAAAAATTTACTGAATACCAAAATGTAAAACAATAGAAATTAAATTTGTGCAAATTTTGAAATACTTGAGTTGGCATCTTTTTTTTGGTTTATTTTCAATAACGATTTTTTGTCGCAAATGTTAGCTTATAAAGTAAGGAAAACCCACCATCTAAAAAAACACTAAAACTTTTTAACACAAATTAAAAATATTATTCTGATATACTCGTGGCAGAGGGACAACAATAAAGTGAACAGCAGTCGTATGCGGGCCTTATATTCCTGGCGAAAGTCGCAAGACAAAGTTTCCTTGTTTTAATGAACAATTTTTTTTTTTTCTTCTTTTTTTAGAGAAAAATTCTTTGCAAAGAATAATATTTTTCTAGTTCTACCGAAAACACGTTTAGAAAAACAAAAAGGCATATATTAAGCTACCCCTTTCGTAGTTAATGTCTGGTTACAGTCAAAGGGACAAGTCCTTAAACCAAGAGTTTATTCTCTTTAAAAACTAAGGATGGGTAGGAAATGTAATTCCATCCAATTTAAGAGCTTACGCAAAATACCTGAAGGTATTAGAACTGAAGTCAACTAAAAATGTTGATAGATATAAAGAATTCCTTAAGCGCTTGATATGGAGAAAAGCAGCTACGTGAAGTTTACAAGCAAAGACGACTAGCATTTTTGGCTTTGAATTGAATAATCGCATAAAAAAGATTGGGACGCGAGTTTGTTCACTTTGTCTCCCTCAGTAATAACTGCCTTGTTTAGAAAAAGAAAAAAAAGTGAAAGGGAGAAGTCATAAAGTCTTTTGATAAAAAGCGGCAGTGGTGGGAAGGAAGCTTCTAGTAGAGCTTACTATTGTGCTGCGGAATGTTATCCAGCAAACTGGGAAGGTGTGAATAGAAAAATCAATGGCCTAACCATTCATCGACGCCATGGGTCGTTTGGAAGAACCGTGAATATAGACATCGAAATTATACTAAAGTTTCTGAGCTTCTACCAAGTTGTTCGCAAGAAGCTATAGACTCTTAAAACACAACCGCGAATGATTAGTTTATTGCAAGTATTCTTGGCGACGATCGCTCTAACATAGGCTCGAGAGCGTTACAGAGTGCGCCGAGTTCAATATTTTCGCTGACCTTTGAATTTTCACTGGCACGATCTCCTTAGAGTTCCTAGTTTAACAAGATTGAATACTGTTACTAGGTTTTAACAAGTCGCAAGTGGCAATCTACTGCCACAGCATGACCTCAACAACAATATGAAAAATAGCTTTCTTTCGTTGATCCTGTTTTCTTCTTGGAGTGGCATCACTTATTTAAAGGATACATAACACTATAGATGCTCATTGCACCTGATTGCAGGAATATTTTTTATTGTTAAACAAAACAATAAATACACGCAATATGAATGTAGAAAAGTTGAAATTAGCGTTGGGGTAATCTCATCGCTGACACAAGCCGATATCATGACTGCAAAGGAATTCAAAATCTAAAAACATTCGGTTTTATGAAAAATGCTCCATCTTGAAAAACGCTTCAGCGATACTTCCGTTGTTTAGTTGCAAGTTCTTTTAAAAAAAAAAAAAAAAATACAACGACAGTCGCTTTCTCTTCAACAACAATTTTTTTTATCTTACTATTTATGAACAAATATTTCCGCAGAGAATTACGGGATATTTTTCCTACTTACAAAGTAAAAAGTGACGTCAGAATAAATAAACTTTAATGGCGAACTCTTTTAAGCATCATGTGTCAGCTGACACCTTTCGCATGTGGAGGTTCGCTTTTGTTGTGTTTGATTAATGAAACATTATTATTCAACGGACGAATGTTTATTCGTTCAGTTATACATTTAATACTTTAGTCATATCATCTTCATTACTCATCTGTACATGCAGAGCCAGTCTGCCTGCCACCGATTTTATAGTCATCCATAACCCTTTCGTTTTGTAGGCATGCACACGTACACATTGGTTACTTGAGATAATTAATCAATATCAATCAATGCCATTGTGGCGGGAGAGAGAAATTTATGGGAAAAAATTTTGAAATTTTTAACTTTTTTTTTTTTTTAAATGTTTAGCAAAAATCCCAAATAGCTTAATATAAATAAATTTAAACAAGTTCTCTTCATATGATACATTGTAGATTAATTGAAAAATGAGCCGAATTTTAAATAGCTCCTACTTGCTGCATAATTTAGGGCATTTGAAAACTCATCATTTCTAAGATCGCATGCGAGTTTTACAATTAATCTGTCAATATATTTGCATGAAAAACCACAGCTTAAATCAAACGTGCGGGTATTATTTTTTTTTAAATGAAAAATGTTATTGAATGCAACAATGCGATTCAATTCATTACAAAAGAAAGATTTACATTCATTGGATATTTTTATACTGAAATGAATTTTTATATCATTAAGGCAACCTGATTCTTTAAAATTACCGTTTTATACCAAAAAACTTTGTACGATCGATGTCAACGCGATATGAATTTTCAAGAATCACTGAATAAATAATGAATTCTATATATATATACGCGATGTAGTTTTAAATGGCGAATAATTCACTTTGTATGAAATTTTTATTGACTATGAATACTCGACTGACAGTGATTATATCACTGTGTGTTCATCATATTCTGTTGTTTGACTCTTGACGGAAAAGCCTTTCTAAGAGGCCTTAATACCGCAATATACGATCGTCTGAGACTTGAGTACAAATTCTATCTCGATGTCTCTTACTCTATGGCTACTTTATCGCCTCAAATTAAAATAAAAGGCGTATCTTGATGCGATTTCTCTTTTTGGAGATATTCTGTCGTCTGGTGGTTTCTTTTCAAGAAGGGGATGTCCCGCGTAACACGACGATGGTTAGAAGGAAGTGAGGAAGGAGAATGAGATAGGGAGACGATCAAAAGACGTTATGACTTCACCGATTGAGCATTCACTCTGGAGTTAGAAGTATTCTTACGAGGAACTCTGGTATATTCACTGGCTGTTGCCTCAGTAAAGGTTCAGAGAAATGGACTGCAATTTATATATATAATGGTATAATGGACTCGTATATATACATATTTATCCGCATGAGTAGCATGCGGTGAGATTATCAAGTCAATATTCATGGGTTCAAATTTCTAGTGCGGTAGAACTCACTTGATTGCAGCTGTAGTGAGTGCTCAGTGAGTCACCTTTCTGTGGAGAAAACAGGTAAAGATATTGGCCAATGGCTGTAAACAATTTTTGATCGAAAAAAACAAAAACTTTTGGTTTACCCTACTGAAACCAACCGCAAACTTTTTATAGATTGAGGGTTGTATGTATTTGTAGAATTTATTAAAAAAAGTTCTCATTATACATATATTATACGTAAGCAATAAACTCTGCATTTATGTTGTGGACTTTTTAGAGTTTATTTAGAAATTTAATACAATACAAACCATTTAAAATCAACTACAAAATATATATATATATATATTCTTGATCTGTAAAACACATGCATGCAAATAGTGTGTGTGTTAAAAAATTCTTACTATTATAGTATCTTTTCTTATTCATAGCTATCACCATCCATTTTCATATGCATATACACATATATGTGGAAGTATATATCCGTCGTTTACAATTATTAACAAACATGCACAAGAAGCCCTCATGTACACTGTTCCGTTCTGGCACCTCATCGCTAATTTTCTGTATTTTCTACGCAGATACTGTCTTCATATGCACTTAGGTAGATTTAACAATCTGCATATGTGTGTGTGTGTGTGTGTGTGTGTGTGTGTGAATATAACTATGTATAAAATAAGTGAGTTTGAAAAAGTATGCGTACATATACTATATAAATATAGATTCGTATAAGAGCACATGACCTCATTGCTTCAAGTCAAAGTGAAACCACCATAAAAGTGTTTTCTGTTTTTTATTTTCTTTCTAACAATTTAGAAAAAAGAAGAAAATGATAAAAGTAAAACGAATAAAAATATCAGAGAGAATGCATTTTGCAGTTTGTCCCACAAGTATATATATATATATATATATATATATAAAAATGAATGTATGTATGCTATGTAAAAAAAAAAACAACAAAATCTTGGTGTTGAAATTACGGAAATATCTTTGAAGCCAGTTAAAGCTGTTATCAAGCAGCAGCCATTCATTTTCCTTTTCTATGGAAGATTGCAGAGAGTAAAGCAATATATATATATATGTGAGAGTATGTTTGAAATTTCCTTTCATTTCGTTCATTCCATAATTTAACTCAGTTGTCAGATGCATTAAATCTATTCTTAAGTTATTCATATGTTAATAGTTTATAAAAGGTAAGCACATGCATACAGAATTAGTTTGCTTAAGGACCTACAAGCACCTGCACCTGCAGTTGTAGTAGGTGTAGTTTTTCACATTACGTTTTGTGTGCATATGCGGCATGTTAGAGGAAACAGGAAATTACAATTGATGTTGATGAACTAAGCAGCCTATGCAAGGATACACAAGATATGAGAATACCTTTCAATCATGATTATGTATACCGCACTGATGATTGGCATTTTATTAATGTTATTATTTTCCTTGCATTACTCGTTAATGCCGACAATATGCATTAGAAGCCACATACACTGTATATAAATTCTACGCCAATTTAATTTGGTGCGCCTATGTCCAAGTAGTCCGTCCCTCCCCGTTAATAATTAGTTTCGAAAACTCTTAGATCCAAGAGCGTCGACATTTAGGACAGTTAAATATTCAGACGAACTTTGAAAAAAAGCAATGCTTCTATGTTTCCTTTAACCAGACAAGAAATCTATAAAATTTAATACATTTCCTATCCTGCATTCGGAACACTTAACTAAGTTAGTTGTGGAAGTGCTTTTTACAAACGCTTGTTTGGTAATTGCTTTCAGTTACTTTCCGGAATTTCCAGAGGACCGCGCTGTAGGCAAGTCGTGTTAATGTGACCCAAGTGTGTATTTGACCATATTAGGCCGAATGTCGTTAGTGTGAAAAATCCCGATAATATGACTTTTGACCGACAATGCCAATTCTTCAGTTCACGTTTGTTTCATTGGCGTTC